CAGAGTCCTTCCCCAAGTTCTCAGTCATGTGCTTACTAATCCAGGGCCGAAGGCAACAAGGCCAGCAGGCGCAACGCCAAAGGCTCCATGGCCAGCAGGCGTACAACCACAGAAGTCTCAAAGGTTCGAACATGGGCATGACAGCCCCGAAGATGCCACGCAGGGCTCTACTAATATGACGAAACCTACGATATATAGGGAGTATCGCCCTAAACCCCTTGCTTGAAGGGGTTAACATTGATTACTTGATCCCCTCATGACCAGCGCCTAAACCTCCATGGCCGGAGCCACGGCAGCAGTGGCGGAGCCAGGATTCAAAACTTGGGTATTCCCATCGATAATTAAAGTCACAAGAATATTCGAATAATAAATTATTCAGCTAATCAGCTCTAAAATATGCATAAAACAAACTGATAATTAATAAAAAGAACTTACAAAATATTATAATGTTGCTTTAATCCTACGATTCTTCATGGTTTGGAAGCGGTTGATGATGTCCTTGTCCTTGACTTGTAGAAAGAATTCCCGCTCAATAAATGTAGCCAAGCAATCATTCAAGTATTGATCCCCAATCTTATTTCTCAATTTGTTCTTCACATAATTCATGATAGAAAAAACTCTTTCAACACTTGCAGTTGCCACTGGAAGCACTAGCACCAATTTTAGAAGCCTATAAACAATTGCATGTCTTCCAATCTTGTTATGCTCAACAAGCTTCATAGAAAGCTCAGCAAGACTTCTCACATTCGCAAACCTTTCATCATTGCGCATATCAGTAATGTACAAATTGAGTTGAGCAGGTAGGTGGATCAACTCTAAGCTTGTGAAATCATTAGGATAAAATCCAGCAAGCTTAACTAATTTTTCTTTGTCAAAAGCAGCAAATGAGTTGAGGGGATTGAATGCAGCCATGCAAATAAGCAACTCTGTGTTTACCTCATCAAATCTTTCATCAAGTTCTTGCAGTTGCCTATCAATGGCACTTAGGAACATGTCAACACGGTAACGATGGAGATTCTTGATCTTGATAAAGAACCTCCTATCTCTTCCAACAGGCTTATAGAATGTGTCCATATCAGGAATTTTGATTTTATTCTTGACACAAAATGAGTCGACTTCTTTAAGGAAATCCTCCCACCCAGTATCATGCCGCAACGCGTGCAATTGCAACTTGGTCAAAGAAATGAGTTCTACTGCATTGACAATATCTTGATCCTTCTTCTGTAAGGCCTGATTCAAGTCTGCTGTGAACCCTAGTACTGTTTGCATCAAGTGTGCCATGAAAACAAACTCATATGACTTGAATATTGTCAACATTGTTTGTGCGTGTGCACACTCAGTTCTTTGGGAGCGATCATCGCCAACCTTTACAAGAACTTTCTGAATTGAAGGATATAAAGATATGACATGCATAACTGTTTTATAATGAGATCCCCAACGAGTGTCTCCAGGCCTTGCCATACCCATTTCTTGATTTAATCCTTTTCCAGTTTCAATGTCACCCAATTCTAGTGCTTCTAGAATACTCTGAGCATGTGCTACTCGAAGCATTCGTGTCTTCTTACAAGAATTCCCAATAAGGTTCAATAAAAATCTAACTTGATCAAAGAACCAAACACAATCTGAGTTTTCCTTGGCCACTTCCACAAGAGTTAACTGAAGTTGGTGTGCAAAGCAATGAACATAGTAAGTAGATGGACAATCATCCAAAACTAGTTTCTTTAGGCCATTAGCATGACCCTTCATGTTACTAGCTCCATCATAGCCTTGCCCATGTACCATAGACAAGCTCAATGAATGCTCCATCAATAAATTCTCAATTGCAGTTTTAAGTGTCAAAGCAGTAGTGTTTTATACATGGACAACACCTAGGAACCTCTCAACTACGCTGCCCTTTTTGTTAACATATCTCAAACAAAGAGCTAGTTGTTCATTTTGGTAAACATCACTAGATTCATCAGCAAGAATTGCAAAATATTCACCACCAAGGTCTTCCATGAGAAGCTTAGTTGTTTCTTTGGCACAACAATTAGCTATCTCTCTTTGAATCTGAGGAGCAGTCAACTGACAATTCTTTGGGGCATTCTTCAAAACCACCTTTGCAACCTCTTCAAAGTTTTCAGCTAGCATATCTATCAACTCTAAGAAATTTCCCTTGTTAAGTGAACTTTCACTTTCATCATGTCCACGAGAAGCTAAACCTTGACGTAGAAGGTACTTAGCTGCTTGAATAGAATAGGACAAATGGGCCATGTACTCAGTCTTATCCTTATCATTTATCCTACTAAACTTATCATCAATTGCTTTCTTAGGTGTAATGAAGGAAATATATCTCTCTAGAGCCATTTTGTGGAAGCTAGTTTTGGAACCACAATGTTTAGTAATCCTCTTTTTCATATGCCAATTTCTAAAGCCTCCACTCACAAAAGCATCTCCACCAGAACTATTAGTTTTATGCTTGAACAAATAACAGACAAAACAAAATGCTGCATCTTTTTCGACACTATATTCAAGCCATGTGAATTCACCAAACCAGTCAGGCAAGAAGCGTCGAGGCTTACCTCCAATGTACCTTATAGGAAAATCATGACTCCATGGTTGACAAGGCCCTTTTGCAATGTATCCCCTAACCACTGAATTTCTTTCATTGACATTATACCTATTGATGGGAAGCCTCTTTCCGGGATCATGAGGAAGAAGGTCAATGTCATAAATAGCATCACCGCTTGATTCATAGCCTGAGTCATCACCATCTCTGATAGGGGATAAAGTAGAAGGTTCAGTGGCTGCTATGTTAATTTCAAGCTCATTGCTTCCTATCTCAGGTGACATCTGGTCTGTACTTGCTATCTCAGGTACTGTCACTTCTCTGGTTGTTGTATCATGCTCAACAGATGGATTGGTTTGATTATGAACTTGACTCTCATCAGTTATAGGCACAGCAGATTCAACAATAGGATCTTGAGGCTGAGCATTACTGCCCTCTGTAACTGGTTGTGGCACTGATGTAGATCCTAACTCCACCTTCCTTGTTTTTGCTGCTCTATCCCATAGAGTCTTCAAATCAACCGATTTCGATTTGTTCTTCATTTTGCAAACCAATAGGCAATAGCAATATCACTGCAAAAGTCCAGATCAGTAAACTACTAAACTCTATCTCTCTGATTCTCTGAACCAATAATTGCAACAAAAAATCAAGATCAAGGCAACAACTGGAGTAGAATAGAACCTGTCCGTGCTGTCGCCGCCTTGCGCCTTGCCGGCCGCCCAGCACGGCAGCGCCGGCCCTGTGCAGCTGTGCTCGCAGCTCACAGCCGCGTGCCGCTCCCTGACCGCGTGCCGCGCGCGCGTGGAGCGCCGCCTCGCCCAGCCGCCGGCGGCCGGCCGCCGCGCGCCTAGGTTTTGCAGTGGCAGCGCGTCGCTTGCCCGCGCCGCGTGAACCGAGGATGCCGATGGGTGCGACCTGGACGGCTGGACCTCAGGGGAATAGAGGTGGGATCGCTAAATGGGTTGATTGGGCCGGCCTGGGAAGGGGAGGTGTTCGCAGCCAGGCCTAAAGGCCATTTGTTTTGCTGTTTTGGGCTCAAATGTTTCGAAAATATCACAGAATATTGCATTATACATATATATATATATATATATATATATATATATATATACACACACACACAAGTATATATACATATCTATTAAAAGGTGTAAAAAAAAGTTGGGTATTCCCGGGAATACGGGGGAATACCCGTAGATCCGCCCATGCACGGCAGCCTTCTTCTGGATGGCGCTTGTCTTCTGCTTCTTGGCTTCCTGCTCAATGAGCATCTTGATGGCCTCCATCTTGGCACTTTCGATTGGCTGGTCAAAGTGCTGCATACGATGTCAGGGGTATCTTGAGTAGTGTCCTCACCCGATAGTTCTTCCTTTAGACTTTTTCTACCTGTATCGATGTTCGGTACGTGAAGAGACATCGATGATGCTCGAATTTAGATAGATATATACCACGAAAGGTCGTAGTAAACGTGGTATACAGCATCTTCTTTCTCAAAAAGCTGCACGCACAGGTGGAACAAAAGCCGGGTACCAATGTCTATCTCGCCGTAGACCGGCATTCAGGTGCTAGTACGTAGGAGTAGCATGCACACCCTGCCGCTGCCGCGCAGCAATGTGTGAAGAGCTGAAAACAGGTCCTGGTCCGGCACCAGCAGTATACATTATTCTCTCCCGACGAAGGAAGGAATAATCGAACAAATTCCAACATATCTTCCCTACCCAGCTGGAAGCTGGAGCTGGCCTATATACATAGCTGGCGTCTGTTGATTCTGCATTTCGTTTCCAATCGCTCCTTTCTGTCAGTCTGAAGGAAAACCAAACCCTGTTCTGTTTGGACTTTTCATAAGCTTCGTGACTAAGCTAGCTTGTTAATTTCTACATTCAGTTCAACCATACGTATAGCTTTGTTATTACTTGTGCAGATTTGGTTATTAGTTGATGATGGATATGCATGAAGACATACTAAGAGTTCTTACATAGTACTATATCTTTATCCCAAAAAAAATACAATTATGAGTTTAGATTGAGCCATACTTATATAGAAAAATATTCTTAACATTTACGATTCCAAACAAGTATATTATGAAAATATATTCCCTAATTAATCTAATGGTACTTATACGATATATAAATGTTAGTATTTTTTGTATATATTTAATTAAATTTAAAACCGTTTGTTTTCTCGAAACATGAGAATTGTATTTCTTTTTGAAATTGAAATGAAGTATTAGCTAGTCAACTACTACACTCTAACCATCTTGGCATCTACCAACCAGAACCTGTGTTCACATGGTTAGAGCGAGAGAGGTGCACGTACAGTGATCGATTAAGCAGCATCAGCTTCCCCATCCCCAACAACTGTTGGATCGGAGCCTATAAATAACACGACCAGAAAGAGAGATACAGCAGCAATCAATCAGCAGAGAGAGGCTACTACTGCCAAGACGATCGAGATGTGGCGCCGGGGTGCACCTGTGGTTGCGGGCGCTGAGGTCCATGTTGAGAGGGTGGAGAACATCGTCATCCTCAACGGGATACCGTCGTCACCGCCGCCGCCGACGACGATGGTGGTGACGTCGACCACGCACGGCGGCGTCATCCAACCATCACCGCCGCCGCTGGCAGGGCAGCACGGAAAGGAGGCGGCAGTGCGAGGGCGAGAGCGAGACATCAACGAGCTAGCTGAGGAGTTCATCCGGAGGAGCAGGGCGGCGTTCTAAGGAGGGACGATCACCGGCGACCACGGTGGCCTGCAAATGCCATAAAGGACATGATCAGGGCATGCATGGAACCAACAAGTTGGTTGTCGTGCACGTCAGGTCATTAGTTGTGTGCAAGTTTCGTTTTCTTAAACGATAAATAACTTTGAGAGTGTATAGATTTGTAGAAATAATCTTATTTGTACATATGTTGTGGAGAACAATAATAATTTGCATTGGTGCAACTTCCTTTCAGTTTTTTTTTGTTTTTTTTTGTGTGTGATGTTCCTCTAAAAAAAATTAGACTACTTTAATTTGGTTTGCCTTTACACAGGATCATCTCCTCAATCTTACTGTCACAAAATGAAAAAGAAATTTGACTAATTATGCTTGGTTAATGATAAGTTGCCACAATTTCCTCACCCAAAAGACAAAAAAGGAGAGAAAAAACTATTCAGTAGTGTACCAGTTGGGCAAGGAAGTCAATTACTGAATGAACAATCTTTATCACAATTTACAAAAAAACAACAGCAATCAATTTTTGTTCTTGCGAAATAACATCAGCCAACAATTACTACTCTCTGGTGACGATTACTGATGAACCTCGGTGCACCACTGGACATATCAGATTACCTCTGCAAAATATTTGCCAACAGACGAGTGACTGAAAAACAAAGAGCAGAAGGGTTAAAAAAAAGGAAAGTAAGTAACGGCGACTTTATTTTAGTACCATTTTAAAAACTTATAGATGTACGTAATAAGGGGTATTTTTTTTTAGAAATCTCATAGCTGCACGCTGGTAGCAGTAAGTTACCGCGTTGTCAGCTTATTGGGTGATAATAAAAATAATAAAGAGGAAATAGCACACACAATAAAAGGAAAACGTATACAAAGTTTATTATTACTTCAGTTCCATCCATTCTTGACAAAGACAACGAAAGCAACAACCTTTAACGTTGCTTGACAAATGAATCTTCTTTAATTTCTTGTGTCTTCATGAATATAGCAGTGCCAAAAAAAAAATTCAGCTAATAATATGATCCGTTAAACAACAACAACAACACCACCACCACCAACAACATAGCCTATAAGTCCCAAGCAAGTTGGGGTAGGCTAATATGATCCGTTAAACCTTAAAAATAATATATATAACTGAATCTATGTACACAAGTCTTTGTTACTGGAGTTTCAAAGAACCTAATAGATAAGATTCAATTTTTCATTAAAAATATTCAGGATTCCTTTTAAAAGAAATGAATCTATGTATGTATGGGTGAAAGATGACAACCCATTTAGTAGAGTTCTAGAATTGAAATTCGAAGTTGTTGGTGCAGATTATAAAGTTCTCAATTCAATTAAAAACATTTTATTACAATGTTCTGTTATTCTAGTTTAAGTACTAAACATAATCAAATTGATCTTGTTTGAGTTTTTTTAAGAAAAACATTGAACAAAAAAAATGTGCCACAGCTATTATCATCTTAGGCTCTTAGCTGTACCCCCACACTACTAATAAGGAAGCAAAAAACATGTTTAATCCATAGATTCAGCACCTTCACAAAATTGAAAAGAAGAAACTATACATATACTATGTACATACTCTACTAGCATACCACTACCTTTAATTTTGCCAGGAAATCAAATCAGCTGGCTGCAGTCTGGTAGCAGCTAGCCAGCTACTGTCCTGGATGATGCTTCTGGCCGCAATGTCTGAAAGCCTGAAACACGACGGGCACGTTCCCCCCAAGAGTAAGGCATCCATCCAAAGCCAGCCAGCTGCCAGTAGTACTTCGATCTGTCATTCGGGAACCAAACTCTTTTAGACTTCTGAGCGCATTCGTTTGTTCAGGCAGGCACAGCTAGCTTTACTTGCTGATTTGTTGTTGACCGGCCATATGTCTGCATTGCACAGTGGTCTTGCTCCACTTCGAAGACCTTCTAGGTTCTAGCTACTCCTTGTTCACATCAGGGCCTGCTGGAGCAGTTGTTGCACAAGCACAACGACCATCGACGCATTGGAGCCAGCCTATAAATACCAGCTGCTCACTGGTCCCCGATCGATCAAGGCAAAAACTTAACACAGCTCTCACCTCTCAGTATAGCAGTAGCAGAAGCAGCTAAGCCAAGATGTGGCGAGGCAGAAACATTGGTGCACGCGTGGCCGTTGTGGAAGGCGAAGTGCATGTCGAGAGGGTGGAGAGTCTCGAGCTTGTCAAGAACGGGGTACCGCCGCCGCCGTCACCGATCAGTGACGACGGTAACCAGCAGCTGGGGTGGAACGTGAACCAGCTGGCTGCAGATTTCATCAGGAGGAGCAAGGAGAAGTTCCAAGGGGAAGATGGGAGCAACGGTCAGGCCCAAAGGCCATAAACATATGCATCTTTGATGGCCCTCATCCAAATTTATATATAGAACTTAGGAGTATATAGTGTGTGTCATGACTCGTGCATGAATAATGGTGTGCCTAGCTATATATATACATTCTCCTTCAGTTGTTGTGTACAATATATTGGATACCCTCTCACTCTGTTGCGTACGTCCTTTTTCATGAAGCAAGAACGACCAGCATGTTGGTCCCGAGATCTCCGGTACGGGTGAGCCGATCGCTCACACAATATGGCTGGAGGTAGAGGAAGAGAGGGAGAACAGAGCGTGCGCACATACAACACAAGCACCAGCGTTGGCCGGAGCTCTGCAGAGGAGATGGTAAAACTAAACTCGCTCTCTTTAGTGAGTTGCAATGCGAATCTATATATATAACTCTACCCATCCAATCCTAGTATACAGATATGCCAGGCTGCCATGCTGCTACAGTGACTAGATGTGACAGCAGGGCTAACTTTGGCGCCTACCCCTGATGTGACTACAGTGCAGCAGGAGAGCCTTTTGGCGCCTGCCCCTGCCACGCATACAGAGATAGGAGAGCAGCAGATTACTTTACAATTCTCCCCCTAATCCTGCTGCTAATCCTAGAATCTCCACCATGCCGATCATTTTCTTCAACTCCGTGAACTGAAGACGGCCAAGCGGCTTGGTGAGGACGTCCGTGAGTTGCCGACCAATTTCGACGAACTCGATGACGATCTGCCTCCATCGACACAGTCCCTGATTGAATTGCTTTATTAAGTACATGGGAATATGAGATGTCGACCAAACCTTGCTAACTTTCCCAAATAACTCTAATTGAACTCTACAATAAAAGTCATGAAGGGTTCATATTGAGCAAATATCAAGAAAAGACCTCAATTGGTCGAAAACCCTAATTCTAGGGTTTAACGAGGTGCTGCTTTGACCAAGATGAAGAAATGGTTTCTGTACTAGATATGAAGTTTTACCTTTAATAAAAGTTGAATTTTGAGTGGAGTACAACAAACTTTATTTTTGGACCAAGACCTGATTCAACTTCTAAGTGGCTCAAACAGTGGCCTCAAGTTTGAATGCAGTGCTATTTTGGATCTCAAAAAATTGGCTGTTTGGAATTTCAGTGGCGATGATGATTGGCATCTCGCGTTCTCAGATTTTTGTTAAGCAACTCAAGTTGAGCCAAATATAAAAGTTGGAGTTTACATCTTGGAGAAGGACACACAAAAAGTTGGAATCAATTTGACCACGTTTTGACCAAGTAATTCGAGCTCAAGCAGAGCAAGGCTTAATCCTTGATTAGTCGCTAACATTGTCAACTTTGGGCTTAATTAGGTGCTTATTGAGAGCTCTAATGGCCAGGCTTCCTTAATGAGTTTTGTAGATCATCCGGTGGGCTTCAACTTTGCTTTTGGGCCCAAGATCCAAATCGGCCCGTAGCCGGCCCAAAATCAGCTCCCACCTTGCCCCGACCGTCGCTTGCCACCTGTCCGAGGAAATGCCGACGCGTCCTCCATGCGATGGCCGCGCCCCCACCATTGCCATGCGCCGTTTTCGCGTGTGCCAGTCTCCCTATTACGCCTCTACACCCTCCAAAGTGGACGCTCGACCTTCCCCCTCTAACTCACTCGCTCTTGCCCTCGCCTCTGCTCGCTCCCTTCCTCGCTCCATGCCAGAGCGCGAACGCGCCCGCCATTGCCGACAGCCAAGCTCCATGGCCGTTGTCGTTCCTCCACCCCTAAGCGCCTCATAGCCCTCCACCTCCGTCACCGCCTTCACCTCGTCATGTTCCATCTCTCGCGCACTCTCGCCCAATGCAACCGTCACCGGAGCGCCGCCACCACCGTGCCGCGCGGCAAGGAGCTGCCGACGCGTGAGGCCAGGCCACCTTGGGCCATCTCTGGCCGAGCTGAGTAGCCGTACGGGTGCACGCGGTCCCTGGGATGCTCCCTACCGACCCCTGCTGGCCAAGGCCGGCCGACCCCGAGTTGTCCTCGCCGGCCGTCGGTCCACTGCTGTCGTGGCTGAGCCACCTCCATCCACCACGGGGCAAGCCACGAGCGCCTGCTAGTGCACGTGGGAACCCGGGCACTCTACCGCCGCCGCTCACCGCCGGAGGTCGACCACCTCACCGGAAATCGAGCCGCCGTCGACCTCCTCTGCTCCAACTCGCGTCGGGGACCTCGCGCAACAATAGAAGAAAAGATAGGGGGTGAAATGAACAGCCGTGACTCAGGGGAATAGTGCAGAGAAGGACCTGTTCATTGGAATTTATTTTCGTGGAAGTTCAGGGGCCTCGATGCAATTGTGTTTTCCTTTATTGCATTTATTTGGATGAAACTTTAGAAAATCATAATAAATCATAGAAAAATAGTAAAATAGCAAATGAGGACTTTTTAGAATTCTTGTGAGTAGATCTATGCAGTAGAGTCATAATATGATATGTGTTAGTAGAAAGTTTCTGCTATTTTTATTTATTCTTGCAAAGTGCTTTTAAAAATCCTTTTAAGTTGTCTGATGTATATCTTGAGTTATAGAAGTCCAATGGTAGTTCTAGTTGTGTTAATCTTGTGATGACATGCTCTAGCTAATAAAAATATTAAACATGCTAGTTGTGTACTGTTTTTTATAATTTTTGATTTAATCTTATTAAATAGGCA